AGAGAATGCTGCGGTTGAGAAAAAGCTCGCTGTGATTCACTTGGCTTCTCATGAAGGCAGAAGCGAGGAGGAGTCCCCTCTGACTGAGCTTGGTGGTTTTCTTGCAGATGTTTCATTACCCAAACAAGGGAACATCATCAGTGCTAGAAGGAATGTGGGGTTGTGGAGAGGAGGAGGAGGAGGAGAAAAGGACTGTGGGGTCCTTGATGCTCTCTGAGCTTGGTGGTTTTCTTGCAGATGTTTCATTACCAAACTAGGGAACATCATCAGTGCTAGAAGGAATGTGGGGTTGTGGAGAGGAGGAGGAGGAGGGGAGGAGGAGGAAGAAGATTGTGGGGTCCTGGGCGCTCTCTGAGCTTCGTTATTTTCTTGCAGATGTTTCATTACCAAAATAAGTAATGAAAACAGTCCACTGATGATGTTACCTAGTTTGGGTAATGAAAGTCTGCAAGAAAACCACCAAGCTCAGAGAGCACCCAGGACCCCAAATCCTCATCCACCTCCCTGCAAACTCTACTCTGTTCTAGCGCTGATGATATTCCTTAGTTGGGTAATGAAATGTCTGCAAGAAAACCACCAAGCTCAGAGAGCACCCAGGACTCCTCGTGTCAACCCTGAGCTACAAAGATTCTAATTTATTAAGCCAAGGTGGCACAGGCCATCCGGCAGTGCTTCTCAACCTTGACCAGGGATGGACGTCAACTCCCAGAATTTCCCAGCCAGGCATGTTTTGTTTACTGGCATTCTCCAAACCACACACTCCGGATTTGTTTGATTTCAAATTGCAGAAGCTCCCAGCTGCTCTTCTGGGTGAGGATTAGGAGACCAGATCCCCTCTGGGGAGCACTGGGTTGGAGAAAAATGGAAGAGAGAAGAATGAACAGCTTTAACTGTACACTGCTGCCCAGAGTCACTCTATCAGAGAGATGGGCAGTACCTAAATTTGAAGAGAAAGAGAGAAGGAGGGAGGGAGGGAGGGAGGGAGAAAAGACAAAAGAAGGATGAATGGATAGAAGTTGGTGAATAGATAAAAGCAGATGAGTGGTACGGAAAGATGATACACAAAGGGAGGGAGAGAGGGATAGATGGAAAGGAAAAACACAGGAAGGATAGACAGACAGAAGGGTTGATGGTGAAAAAAAACCCTTTGCTTTTTCACATTTGGATTTGTTTTACTTTGGTGAGGACCTGGTTTTTCTTTTGTTCTTTTCTTTCAGCCTCCAAAAAGGACAAAATGTTGCTTAAGTTTCTCCCGTTTATTTTTTATTTTTGAAGAGAAATATTTTGTTGCAATGAAACCCTCCTTTGCCATGATATTGTTGTTCAGCTGGAGTGGGGCATGGCTCCAGATATATGCTCCTCTGTGCATGATACAGAGAGTTAAAATGTACGGATACTTTGCTTTTTTTTATAGCTAATAAGTTTTGTTATTTCTTTGCAATCTGCCGGGCCGTTTCCTTGTAATACGTAATGTGTTTAATGGCTCTTGGGCTACTTAGCAATCATTAGAGTTTGCATTTTGGCTAAGAGATCATCACTAAAAATGATTTCTTTCCTATCATTTTTACCAGCAATCGATAAAAGCAACTCCCGCACTGATTCCAGCCAAATCCCTGCATTTCCCTTAGGAGCCTTAGAAAATAATCCCTTATATAAGATGCTGGAGAAAATGCAAGACCCAGGCTGGTCCTTTCCTGCAAACACACCTATCATTTGAGTTTTTCCAGGATCCAACCTCTGACCACGATTTCTTGACCATCTCCCTTCTTCCCTCCTGTGACCCAGGAAAGCGGCGTTAAACCAAGTCATCTCCCTAGGAAAATATCCAATAATTATCCACTCATGAGAGTTGCAAGATGAGATGAGAAGGATGAGAAGGATGATCCTTGTCACCTACTTAGGGGCTCATCCTTTTTACGGGAAGCATCAAAGCCTCTGAATCTTTTACACCCACCAATTCGCTTCCCATCTCAAGAACGCCAAAGTCGTGTTATCAATTTCAGCCTGTTGTTCACCCAAACTAAGCTGTCTCCTCAGATTTACTGGCCTCTCCAGTAAATTAGACACTTTCTCAACATTTTTTCCTGAGTCCTGTCAGAGACTGAGCTGGAATTTCCTGGCTGCATTCACAGAAAACACTAAACCCTGGTGACCACAATTGCTGCATTCATACAAACCATGCCTATATATTTTATGGCCGAAGGGTGATGGCTGTTTCACATAAGGGGCTAATCGAAGGTTAGGCTTCCTACAATGCAATGTTGAGCCTAGACTAGCTGAATCTGAGCCACACTGAGGTCAGTTCACACAACAAAGATACTAAGACAGTGGTTCTCAACCTTTTTAATGCCACGACCCCCCAACCGGTTGTAAGTCAAGGACTACTCAACCGGTCGTAAGTCGAGGAGTACTCAACAGGTGCAGCGCCGTTTGCAGAATGGGACTTTTGGCGGGCTCAGCAGGGCAGAGACAGCCTGGACAATTCCTATTGGCTTTTGAAAGCCAATAGAATTAGACTCTATTCAAGAGAGTCTATTCTATTGGCTTTCAAAAGCCAATAGAATAAAAGGGAGTAGCACAGCTAAGGAAAAGGGGGAAAAATGGTGGACTGCGTTGTTTGGCGACCGCCGTGAAATGGTCGTTCGACCCCAAATGGGGTCCCGACCCACAGGTTGAGAACCACTGGACTAAGACTCTGGAAAGAGTGCAGAGAAGAGCAATAAAGATGATAAGGAGCATGGAGGCTAAATTATACGATGCATGGTTGCAGGACTTGGGAATGTCTACTGTAGCCTAATGAAAAGAAAGACCTGGGGAGGATATGACAATTGTCTTCCATTACTTGAGGGGCTCTCACAAAAAAAGAGGGGGTCCACCTGTTCTTCAAAACAGCTGAAGACAAGAAGCAACAGATGGAAATTTATGAAGGAGAGAAGCAACCTAGAACTAAGGAAAAATGTCCCGACAGTGAGAACAATTAATCAGTGGAACAGCTTGCCACCAGAAGTTGTGGGGGCTCCATCACTGGAGACTTTCGAGAAGAGATTGGGCAGCTATTTGTCCAGAATGGTATAAAGTCTCCTGCCTAGAGCAGGAGGCTGGGCTAGAAGACCTCTGAGGTCCCTCCCATTCTATGATTCTATGTTCTATGTTCTAACACACTTAATTTAAGGCAACTTAAAAACCTGGCAATTGGCATTGCAACTGTTATTAACTTAATTTTTGTTTTTTTTGTGGATTAACTTGCAGGGCAGAATAGCTGTGGGGTTAGTTTCTCCTGAAACTACACATAGTCCTCGAGTTATGACCACAACTGAGCCCAAAATTTCTGTTGCCAAGTGAAACATCTGTTCAGGGAGTTTCCATTTTATGACTTTTCTTGCCACAGTTGTTAAGTGAATCCACTGCAATTGTTAAATTAGTTAACAGGGCTATTAAGTGACTCCGGCTTCCCCCTTTGACTTTGCTTGTCGGAAGGTCGTAAAAGGGGATCACGTGACCCTGGGACACAGCAACGGTCGTAAGTATGAACCAGTTGCCAAGCGTCTGACTTTTATGACCATGTGATTCTGGGGATGCTGGAAAGGTCGTAACTGCGAAAAAAGGCCGTAAGTCCCTTTTTTCAGTCCTGTTGCAACTTTGGTCACTAAATGGACTGTTGTTAAGTCGAGGACTACGTGTACTTGGACAAGAGAGAAGATGGGTCCCTTCAGCTACCAAATTGCAGATTATTCTGCATCCCAGCAACATGTCTATAATATAGGAAGCACCACAGAGCAGAGAATCTCCCGGTGTTAAAAAACACAGAATGGAAATCTCCATCAGCACTGTTGTGACAGGGAGAAGGGGAGGAGGGAGGAATACAGGTAGCCCTTGGCTTACGACCAAAATTGACCCCAAAATTTCTGTTGTTAAGTGAGACATTAGTTAAGTGAATTTTGCCCCATTCTACGACCTTCCTTGCCTCATTTGTTAAGCGAATCACTGCATGGGATAAGTGAGTAATCGGGTTGTTAAATGAATTTGGCTTCCCCATTGACTTTGCCCGTCAGAAGGTCACAAAAGGGGATCACGTGGCCCTGGGACACAGCAACTGTCATAAATATGAGTCAGTTGCCAAGCATCTGAATTTTGATCACATGATCCTGGGGGGGGATGCAGCAGTGGTCGTAACTGCGAAAAACAGTCGTAAGTCACTTTTTTCAGTGCCGCTATAACGTTGAATGGTCACTAAATGAAGTATTGTAAGTGAAGGACTGCCTGTATTAGGTACGTTTCTGCTTTGAGTTACTTATACAGTAATAAAAGCAGGATAAAAATCTAATACATAAATAAATTAAAGTTCTCAAATGCATGGCTCTGATTTATTTATCGCCTGCTCAAGCCAAACCAGGAGACAGTGAGTTCTAGTCCTGGCTGACTTTGGACCAGTCCTTCTCTCTCAGTCCAGCCCACCTCACAGGGTTGTTCTGGGGAAAACTGGAAGAGGAAGGAGTGTTAGGTATGTTTGCTGCATTAGAACATAGAATAATAAGGTTGGAAGGGACCTTGGAGGCATTCTCCAACCCCCTTGCCTTGGCATTTGTAAAAATGCATAAAAAATAAATTACTGGACGAAACCACCCAAAACCGCACAGTGCAAGCCATCATTGACAAACTAAGGTACCCTCCACTGGACTCAACAAATAGGCAAACTACAGTTTATTTGCACAAGTTCTGCAGAGCCAACGCAGGAACTGGGGATTCATTTTGTCTGAAGTGGTACAGTTTTCCCTGTCCGAGCAGGGGGGGGGGTTGGATTAGACGACCTCCAAGGTCCCGTCCAACTCTTGTGGTTCTGCATTCTCTTTGGGGTTCGGCCTGTCTTGGGGTCTCCGGCCGCAGCTCGGGCCACCCTGGCATCCAACGGGCACCCAAGGGCGGCTTAAGACTGGGCACTGATAACCCACGGAGAGGGGGGGCGGCTCTCCAGCCCCCTGAGCCCCCCCGCCCGGACCTACCTTTCAGCAGGGGGAGAGGGGTCAGCTCCTGCTGGTTGCTCTGGTATCGGAACTGGGAGGAACTGTGCGACCGTCTCTGGCGGGAGCGGCGAAGCGACCGGCGGGAGAAACCGTCCACTTTGTCCGGTGGGGGCACGGGGGACAGCCCGGGGGAGGACGGGCTGGTCGGGGTGACGGCCGGCGGGATTTTGGTCTCCATGTCCTGAAGCGGGGCAAGAGTCCGTCCGGCAGCTGAACCCGGGGGGCAGGTGAGGCCGGGCAGGAGGCTTGGCTTAATCCCGCCCAGGGGTGCCGGGCATCCCCTCCGGCCGCAGCGGGCACCCCATCACCTGTCACCTGGCCCAGTCTGCCGATCTCAGGTGTGCGGTGGGGGGGGGCGGACAGGTGAGTGCGTGGAAGTCCCCACTAGCAGCCGCAGAGGGTCAGGTCGGAGGGGGGGCTGCGGGCCGGCCGGACCTCCAACTCAGGACCCCCCCCAAGCGGCAGGGGGGGGTAGACAGGTGGGTGCGTGGAAGTCCCCAGCAGCAGGTCAGGTCGGAGGGGGGGCTGCGGGCCAGCCGGACCTCCAGCTCAGGACCCCCCCCAAGAGGCCGGGGGGGGGCGGACAGGTGGGTGCGTGGAAGTCCCCAGCAGCAGCAGCAGGTCAGGTCGGAGGGGGGGCTGCGGGCCAGCCGGACCTCCAGCTCAGGACCCCCCCCAAGCGGCGGGGGGGCAGACAGGTGGGTGCGTGGAAGTCCCCACTAGCAGCCGCAGAGGGTCAGGTCGGAGAGGGGGCTGCGGGCCGGCCGGACCTCCAGCTCAGGACCCCCCCCCAAGCCTTGCAACCCTTTGGGGGGGGCAGAGAAGCAGCTCCCCCGCCCGCCGCGCCAGCCACTCAGCTCAGGCCCTGCGAGGGGCTGCTCCGGTTGGACAGCGGCCTGGCGGAGGAACAGCCCCCCCTCCTCTCCTCGCCGAGGGGGCCAACAGGTTGCGGAGCGGCGTCCCGGGCAAGGTCAAGGCGGTCCGCGGTGCGGCGGCGGCTGCAGCTGCTCGGAGCCGGCTGGCTTCAAGGCGGCGGCGGCGGCGGCGCCATCCCCGAGCGAGGAGCAGGCAGGCGGGGCCCGGGCGCGGCCCCTTCCCATGGGTCCCGCCGCAGCCGAGGGGAGGCGGGCGGGCGAGCGGCGAGGCCCGTCCCTGGCTAGCCGGCAGGTGCGGGCAGGTGCATGGCCGGCCGCTCGGTCGCTCGCTCGGTCGGCCGGCTTTCCCCCCCCCCTCAGGCTGCTCCAGCGGGCGTCGCAGCGGCCGGGCGACCCCTCAGCGCCGGAGAGACGCCGGGCACGCGCGCCGCTCTGGCGCCGGCTCGCTCCCGCGCTCGCCTTTTTTTTTTCCTTTCCCCCCCTCCCGCCCCCCGTGCGCGTGCGCGCCACCTGCCCGCGCTCACGTGACGCCGGCGGGGCCCCCTCCCATTGGCCCCTAAAAATAGAAGCTGCGTCAGGCTCCGGCAGAGGTGATGTCATCGCCGCCGGCCCGGCTGGGGGGGGGGGGGGCTGGAGCGCTCGGCGCCACCCCTCCCATCTTCCCCCCTCCCACCATCCCCCCCCCCGCCGCCTTTGCAGATGCTCTGTGCCCAGGGTCCCATCGTCCCCAGCCGGTCCCGTGGGGTGCTGGTCAAGGCGTCCGGCTGCAGCCCAGCCGGTCCCACGAGGAGGCTTTCGGGGCGTCCGGCTACAGCAGCCATCCTCCCCAGCCACAGCACCCATCCTCCCCAGCCACAGCACCCATCCTCCCCAGCCGATCCCACAGGGCTCTGCTCCGGCTGTCCATCCTCCCCAGCCAAAGGCGTTCCAACCCCCCCCCCATTGCAAAAGTCCCCATCTCAGACTGATTCGGACTGATGCTGGTTATCAAGGCATCCCACTCGAATTGGGGCAGGATGAGTGGTTTCTGCCCTTCCCTGCCCTGCCCTGCCTGCCACGGGGGCGGGGGGGGGAGGGGGCCAATTCTGTGACCCCCAACACTTTTTGCACGTGTGAAGTGCCAATGCCTGACGCACTGCGATTTTAGCTGCAAGGGTCCTGCAAGGTAGACTGCTCGATCCCTGTTTTGCAGAATCAGAAGCCCTGCAACTGATAGTAGACAGGTAGTCCTCGACTTAACGACCACAATTGAGCCCAAAATTTTGGTTTCCGAGCGAGACATTTGTTGTGAGTTTTGCCCCATTTTACAACTTTCCTGGCCACAGTTGTTAACTGAATCTCGGTTTCCCATTGCAGGTTAGAAGGTCACAAAAGGGGGTGACATGACCCTGGGACACGGCAATTGTCAGAAATGGGAGTGAGTTGCCAAATGTCCAAATTTTGACTACTTACTGTTACCATGGGGATACTGCAACGGTCGTTAAGTGTGAAAAATGGGCATAAGTCACTTTTTTCAGTGCCGTTGTAATGTCGAATGGCCACTAAATGAACTGTTGTAAGCTGAGGACTGCCTATATCTATTGGATCAATTTAGGTCGCAACCACAACCTAAACTGATGTTGACTTATCTGGGAAATCAGAAATAACTTAACCGATAACTTGGATTATTTCTGAAACCATCTAGACTCCTAGAGCATAGGTAGCCCTCCGCTTAGGACCACAATTGAGCCAAGAATTTTGCCTCATTTTACGACCTTTCTTGCCACAGTTGTTAAGTGAATCAGTTGTGAAGTTAGTAACACGGTTGTTAAATAAATCTGACTTCCCCACTGACCTTGTTTGTCAGAAGGTCGCATAAGTTGATGACATGACCCAGGGACATTGCGACCGTCATAAATATGAGTCAGTTGACAAACGTTCAAATTTTGATTATGTGACCCTGGGGGATGCTGCAATGGTCGTAAGTGAAAAACGGTCATATGTCACTTTTTTCAGTGCTGTTGTAAATTTCAGTAGTCAGTAAACAAATGTAAGTCGAGGACTACCTGTATGGTCTTCTCACTCGTAGCCTCCAGTTTAGGACTGCAACTCTAAAGTATCTCTCCAGGCTAGGAATCCTAGGAGTTGTAGTCCCAGCTATGAATTCTGGAAGTTGCAGTCCCAGCCAAAATATTAGGAAAAACAGTCATGATCCTAGTATAATTATCCAATTATAATCTGCAGTATAATTGAAAAAGAGCGATGTAAACAAGAATCAAAGAGACATCTAAAGCAGCGGTAGGGAACGATGGCCCCCTTTATGACTTGTGGACTAAACAGGGATGATTTTTGTGACAAAATTTGTGGAAGACAAGGCTATCTAATCGATAACTCCCGAAGAATAATGTACCTGCAATACCTGTGCATTGATAATTGAACAGTGATTAGCTCAATCCTTGTTTTGGGGGGTTTTCCATAATACTGTAATTGTAAGTGAACCACACAGACTGGCTTTGCATTGCAAGAGAAACCGAAATACGACTGAGCGGCCCCAGATGCTGTGGTTGGTTTTGGTGTAATGTGAATGCTACCATTTTTTACTTATTCATAAAAACATGGTAATATAATATGAGCTTGATCATAACCTTCACCTGCTCTGCAGCCTGTGATTTCATGAATTCGAAGAGTGTTTTCACATTTTTTTCTGAATGTATCTTACCTGTATGCTACTGAAACTCACATGTCTGTTTGATTGTAACCTTTAATTTTTGAATTAATATACCCTAAACGGGCTAACTTAAAGAATGCATCCCAAATTTGGGACCAACCATGACCCCTATAGGATTGAAATTTGACAACGTTGTGGCTACTTCAGTGCTTCACTGCTGCAGTCAGTTATGATCACCATTTCCAATGCACGCTGCCAGCTTCCTATAAGGAAAATCCATGGGGAAGCCAGACAGAAGTTAGAAATCATTCCTGCTTTTTTGCCTGTCATTTTTTTTCTCAGTTTCTGTAAGTTGAAATGATAACCCAACAAGTCACAGTTGTCTAATGGAAATAAAACGCTTTCCATATCTGTTGCTGACAATATTTAGCTTTGGGGCCATAAACCTAGTAATAAGGTTATTGAACTTTGCAATTCTGAGACTCTTCTAAAATGATAAATGAACTTGGATGAAGGATACTTTGATTTCATTATGGTTCAGGTTGGTCACATAAGAAACTATTTATTAAGAATAGAGATCTTCCATATTTTATCAACCTACCTTCCCCCCCCCCCACCATCTGATAAAAACTAGCAGTGGAAAATAACAGTTAAAAATGCTGTAACTCAGGTAGGCTGAAATATACAGGTTTGCCAACAGGAGTGATCCGTGACTCATCCTGGGGTTGAAACACAGCTACTGCATTCTTAGGTCGGTGAACACAACCCCTGGGAATTACCACAAAGAAGAGGGGGTCAACTTATTTTCCAGTGCACCAGAAGGCAAGACAAGAGACAATGGGTGGAAACTGACCAAGGAGAGAAGCAACCCGGAACTAAGGAGAAAATTCCTAACAGTGAGAACAATTAAGCAGTGGAACAGCTGGCCACCAGATGTTGTGGGTGCTTCATCAGTGGCGGTTTTTAAGAAAAAACTGGACAGGTATAGGGTCTCCTGCTTGAGCAGGGGGTTAGACTAGATAGAAGATCTCCAAGATCTCTTTCAGCTCTATTCTGATTGATTGATCGCTGGAGGTTTTTAAGAAGCTACCTGGCTGAAATTATATTATCAAGCATTGGTGTTAACATGGATAAAAGAATGGATAATGCTCAGAAACAAAAGATTGTTGTATTTGGAGGGGCATGACTTACAACTTGGTTGGCATGCCTTTTTATGGTATGGAAAAAATAAAATTCATACTTTCAAAACCACTATATTAGAAATGCATTATTGCTAACATGGGAAAAAATAAAATGTAAATATATATTTGAAAATTCCAGGATGGCTTTCAGCAATGGAAGCATTTGTACACCCAAATCTAGTTAGTCTTGAGAAAATAGTAACATATAAAAATATTCTAAACTCTGAAGGGAAGCTAAAATCTAGACAAGAGATGGAAAATCAGGGTATTGATTTATCATGGTGGCCACAATTACAGATGCAAGTGAGATATGATAAAGAAGTTAAATTGTATGGATTTTATAAAGAGCAGACCTGGTTCAATCAGATATTATTAACCTCTAATGAAAAACTAATTAAGAAAATGTATAATTTTCTATTAAAATTGAAAATGGAAGATGAACAAGTAAAAGAAACGATAACATGGGTAAAGAATTTTGGACATAATGTAGAGGAATGGCAAAGCTTGTG